CAATCCAGTAACCCTCAGAAGTCAAACCCGAAGGTGGCCAAACAAACCTGGAAAATATTCTCGTAAATAGTCTGGTACTAGTGGTAGAGACTTATTTTGATCTAACATCATTTTAATCTTTTACAGACCATCTAAAATTGAACTACTTTATTGGATAATTATTTTGCATTTGTTAAAAAAACTTTGATTTACAAGTTCTTTTCAGTATTTTTAGGTTCTTTTTCTATCCAAGGGTTCTAGTTGACTTGTACTAGACTTTTGGTGTACCAGGATTTCAGTTTTCACACAACCAGCTGCAGTTTTTAGTTTGTGTAACTCATTGAAATGCTAATTACTGGCTCCATGTCCTAATGAGTTCCTATTGTTTGCTCAGACATTGTTGTGTTACCAGATTATGCTAAATTATCTCAGGCCAAAGTCACTTCAGTGCAAAATAAAATTCTAGGGTAAAAGTTCAGGACAGTCAGGTTTATACAAAGTCATTTGATTTGCCAAAACGAATTATAAGTCGTGATTTAATTTTTAGAGTACAGTAAACATGTTCTTTATTCTAACTAGCCTTAGCCCACACCTTCAGTCCTTCAGTGTTAAACACTGAAGGACTGAAGGTGTGGGCTAAGGCTAGTTAGAATTATTTTCAAAACCAATACTCTGATGCAGTTGAGCCAAACAAGGAGGTTAGAAAGTAGATTTTTTAAGTTAACCAGCTCCTTGTTTAAAACAAAACCTCCTTTGATTTACTTTTCAGTCCATTTACTATGATTTAGGCACTTCTCAAGTCAAACCCAATACCAATGGAGTATGGACCTGGAATCCTCAGTTTTAACACAACACACTGCTTGAACAAACAAAGTCCCTACAGGTTCCCATTGTTTTCCCCACCAAACCAGCTAAGGTTCTTCATAGGTTAACTCTGCTGAATTTCTTCTCGCACTCAGGGCATCATAGAAATATCACGAAATATCACATACTCCCTTCTTTCATAAAAAGACAATGCTATAAAACTGTACATTGATTGTCATACAACAAGACAATGTCATGAATTTCTACCAAGTCATATTTTTTCATCCGTGACAGAACTCAGGGTTCAAAATTCCCACTCTCACACTTTTGCCAGACAAGTCATGTTTTCTGAGACTTGGTCATGGAGACCTCAAGTTGCTTGGCACGCAAGCTTATTATTTTGTCAAGCTTATCTTTTTATAACCCTGATGAAGGTAAGACATCCAGGTCAACAATATTCAAAGACAAATCAAACTCTACTACTGGATAAATTATCACGAAGATTACTTCAAGACATTTCCAGGAGGCCTGATCTATACTATAGGTGCAGCTACAACCCCACTAACTGGAAGGGAGGATTTCCCATAGAACTCTCCAGTACATGCAGTTGTTCCTGTGGTGTTGTATTAGTATTACCATAATCTACCTTATCCTCATTTACATAACAATAACAGTGACACTTATGTGTCTTTCACTCTTTGTTCAACTGTTTTTTCTAGTTCCTTCAAGTGTATTTTAGTGCCACTGATTCAGAAGAAGAGTGAGAGAAGTTTCAACTTGAAATGTCCCAAAGTTATCTCTGGAAAATCATGGCCATCTTGTACTGTTTTGCTCCATGTCTGCTCAGTCCTAAAAAATTGCACAGTCCCTGTGAGGAATTCCTCACAGGGAAAATGCAGAGTGCAACTTTTTGGTGCTTTTCTTCATATAATCATAGGATGCTCAAATCCATGGTGGAAGCTTAGTTCAGTTGCCTCATAGTGATGTTGAATGCTGAGGAAATCAAACTCCAAACAAGTTGATTTCAATAGTCAATATTTCAATACACTAACGCTCAAAACACAAAAACGTAGTTGCCTAATATGAAAAAGGCAGGTATATTAGGACAAATCTGGAACAGACAGGGGGGTTGGGTCAAACAAATCTGGAACGGACAGGGGGGCTGGGTCAAACAAATCTAGAACGGACAGGGGGGTTGGGTAAAACGAATCTGGAATGGACAGGGGGGTTGGGTAAAACGAATCTGGAACGGACAGGGGGGTTGCAGGGCTCAAAATTAACTTTTTGACCTAGGAGCACTGTGCTCCTAACCATAAAAAGTTAGGAGCACAGGCTAAAATCTAGGCGCACCAACAAAAAATATTGTATTGCAAAGGTGTTAATATATTAAAAACTAAGCCAGATCATATTTCCTTAAACCATCCCCCCCAAAAAAGAAATCACATATTAATACAGCTGAATAAATAAAAATGTGATTATGTCAACAAATTCCTCCTCAAAAACAGTTTTCTGAGGGACACTCGGTGGGCATGATCATGATGATCTCTATTAAAGATCTCCATAATTCAAATGTAAAAGTACTAGTACAGTAGTTCATAGCCAGGGTTCTAGCTAGGATTTAATTTTAGCGTAGTGGTACTTGCCGCACGTTGAGGGAGCGAAGCTACCGACAGGGGGGATGGGCGCTTTTAAAAATTTTGAGGGATACCCAAAATGAAAAAATGTCATTATTTTCTAAGGTCTGTACAATGTATCCTTGATTAGTAATTTTTATATCTTTGCAGCTTGAAATCTTCACAAAATACAAAAGATAATCCAAATCAGACTCTGAGCATCTGGTGTGCAAAGTTGCAATACTCTACATGCAAAAAATAGCAACTACAAACACTGTATAAATAAAACAAAAAATATGTCTGTTTTGCCTACTAATAGTGTCTCATTATGAGGCACTTTTAATCTCCTTTGTGCCATTTCTGTTCTGCAAAACTGGGCCGAAGTATGATGTGATTCTACACGTGGCTTTGTTGTTATTGCCAAGCTTTGATGCTGACATGATTAAAGGCAGTATGTTGACATAGATCGCACAGTAGCTAAGAGCATGAAATCGGCATGGCACGGCACTGACGCGTATGTGGGAGGAAAACCCACGTGTGTCACAAAGATCACAGACACTGGTAAAGAAAAACGGCAAAAATTTGACAAAAGAGCAAATAATTTATAGTTACTTGTTTAAATTATGAACGAATCCATTGGGTGAACTCCCTTGTTCATAGACAATTTTCATAGACACTGGATACCGAGCTAATAGTAAGTTACCAACGCAAATTTGCCGCTGTGGGCTTTAGAGGCCCCTCCTCTTTTCGGCAGCCGGCTGGATACATCGTGGGAATTGTTAAATAGGCCAGCCCATATATGGCGTCCCAAAGGGAAAGCCGACACTAGGAAGGGGGCGGGACATCCCTTGCCTGGACTCGCCCAGACACTCTGGCACCAGTGTCTAGCCGCTGTCACTCACAGAAGTTGCAAAGAGCCAAGAGGACCCGCCCTGGTTCTCCTGGGAGGCCCGGCACATGCGTTACTGCGCTAAAAAAAAACATTTTTCACATTTGATCTGGCATTCGTGAACAAAGAAATACAGTCACAATGCCGCTAAGTTGTAGTGAAAATTAGCGGGGGAAAATTGGCGTAGCGGGTTCTGCTTTTATCTACAATGCAGGCTAAAATTTTTATTGGCGCACCGTGCGACCGTGATTTCAAATGTAGTCGCACCGTCAAAATTTTGGGCGCATGTGCGACCAAATCAGTCGCAGTCACGAGCCCTGGGTTGGGTAAAACGAATCTGGAATGGACAGGGGGGTTGGGTCAAACAAATCTGGAACGGACAGGGGGGTTGGGTTGAAATAATGAAATTGGACTGGACAGGGGGGTGGGTAAAAAAAATTCTGGACTGGACAGGGGGGTTGGGCCAAAAGCTGATTTTAGACCTCTTCCACCCCCCCTCCACAGTTATTTTTTGGAACAGCCCATTCAAACTTCTCAAAATATATGACGCATGAATAAATATTAAACTGAGATACGTAGATGATAAATAAGACAATACTATTTTTTTTCAAAACTTGTTAATTATCGCACTGTATTTCCTTTGGATTGCTGTCTGTACTTTTTAGTGAAACTGTAGAACAATCCCATCTGGTGTGTGTGTAGAGGCCAAGGCCAAAAGGGTCAACCAGACCATGACATTCTACTTTGTTTACACATGTAACTTGTTATTAGGTTACCCCAAGTCAAACTTGGTCACACCAGAACTAACATATTGATTTAGAAGCGTAAGATCAGGCAGTGATATCCTTCAGAACAAAAATGTGTGGAAAATATAAAATTACTTATATAATTTACTGACTGACCTAACCCCAACTACCTAGAATCCAAGTCACACACAAAACAATTAAATGCCAGATTTTTACATAATTTAGAAAATCTGCGAAATTTCAGATCAAAATCAAATTCTTGTGAGTCCGAATTTATGAGGTTAACAAGGGGGACTATATATAGCCTAAAACTTATCAACGGTTGATGGTTTTTTGTTGTAAAAATCAGCTGAGAACATGTGGACAACATACGGATCACATTACAAAACGCAAACCTCGCTCCGCCATTTTCTGACGTTTTCAACACAAGCGAGTTCAAAACAAAGGCCGCTACGGGAAATGGCCGAGTACAAAAGGCTCACCGCACGCTACGGTGACTTTGGCAGCACAACTCTGCCCGGTTTGGCGAGCTTGACCTAAAGAAAACCCCGGGAAAGTGACCGGTACTCGGTACACACACATGCGGCCCAGGAATTCCTCATGTCCCGCTAGTGTTAGTGAAATCGATCGGACACACGAGTGTACATTTTCATTCACGGTAATCCCTGACACAATCGATTATCACACCGCTACCCGCCTTACCTTTCTCGCGATTTCCGCACTTAGTCCGTAAAGAGGCCCTCTGTTCGACATTTTGATGTAAAGTTCGTTTAAAAATCCTAGGGAATGTCCGAAAATTCCACAACGATGGTCACCGCTATACCTAAAGTTTCCGTACGAGTCACTTCACCTGAGACACCCCTTTGACCGATTGACACCGCATGTCGAGCTTCTAACCAATCAGAGCGTAGCTTTTCAGTTTGATCATCGACGTTATCCAATCAGAGATGCGGGAGTTAAATTTCGCGGTAGTTACTGACCAATCGCAGTAAACCAGGAAGTTAGGGGCGTGGAAATTCCGAAGCCGTGACGTCATCAGCCAAATGGAATTTTTCGAATCAGCGGTGGGAGTTTCGACTTTTGTCATCCGCGATGCCGTCCCAGGATGAAGGTAGAATTTCCGGTATTTCAGTGAATCACGGATGTTTGGTGGGAAGTTTTGAAGTATGAGTCACTCCAGATGCTTTCACACCACGTTTGTTGGGAAATTGGGCCGTTATGTCTATATTTTCATTTCAAAATCTTGTGAGCAAGTCGGACCACTGTGATCTTGGTGTGAAGATTATATGGAGGAAAATATACCACAATTTGAGGCTGAAATGTTTACAATAAAGGCCAACCAGGCACGTATACTGTACCTAATAATATTCACAAAAACATGTTTGAGGACGTAGACATCTGTTTTTCTCATATACCCCATTGATTATACTGTAGACTTGGATATTTGCTGTGTTGTTTACATTTCTGTAAACACAAAGTAGGAAGCACATGGCGAGCTACTGGAAAAAGCGCCACCTATCGCCGTGTGAGAAGACATGCATGAACTTTTGCAATTTTCTTTTGGGGCCTCTCCAGGAAATTGCTAGCATGGAAAAGAGCTATTGTCGCTATTCTTGTGTCATTTTCTGTCGAAATCAGCACAAAAAGAAAGGCAAACATAAAAACTCTCACTCACTCACTCACTCACTCACTCACTCACTCACTCACTCACTCACTCACTCACTCACTCACTCACTCACTCACTCACTCACTCACTCACTCACTCACTCACTCACTATCCTTGTTTAGATTATACTGCTGTATATAATAATTAATATACATGTAATTAGGAAAATGTATTTTTTCATGTAAAGTACAGTAAAGGTCAAAGTATCTAACAGCTTCTAAAAAGATAATTATACTTTTGAATTTCAGAAATGTAAAAAGTATAACCTAAAAATATACTGTGCCTTCCTCTTAAAAAAAAAAAAAGAATCACACTTCCACCCCCACTGTCGTAACTGTCAATGGTCTTTGCATTGTCAGCCTTCTTGTTCCTAACAACACTAGAAGCATGTGCATATGTTCTCATATGCTGAGTTCCTATTATTATCTTCCAGGCAGGCACAGTGAGTGTTTACTAAGTTAAGTACTCGAAATGTCACCAGTCTCCTTTCTGTCAGCAGGTTCTTCACAGCTGTCAACAGTTGGCATAGCAACATGATGATAATTCTGTTGCTGGGACTGGGGTTGCTGGGACTGACCAGGACACATGCCTGCGACAACCAGAACCAGGCTGGCTACCATTGCATGTACAACTCCACCAGTGGTCAGTGGCTGCGTTAGGCCTCACCAAATTAATTTGTTGGTTCTCGGATTTTTCAGAAAAAATATGAAGCGACAGGGTGAAAAAAAAAATTATAACAGGTCTAGGCATCCTCTTATAGCCCCAGATGCTACGATAGGAGCCATGAAGTCAACACAAAACTTCAAAAGGCTGGGTTAATATTTACGAATTTTGAACTTTTTATATAAGTTGATTCAGAACCAGATTCAGAATTTTTAAGTTGATTTTTTTTTTTTGACAAATCAGAAAAAAATGAAGAGGTGAATCTGAGAACCAACAAATTAAATTGGTGTGGCCTTATGCACACAAACTAATACCACATTACTGATGTCTGACTGAGGGACGGCTGCGTGTGCAAGATGTCGGTAGCTTGAGGAATGAATCCCCTCTACTATATACTAATACCACATTATTGATTTGAACACCATGGTTGATTTGCCACATAACACTGAACAGATTTAGTACAAGCAGATCTGTGTTTGTTCGAAATAACCGTGAGTGAAATTCTAAGCTTTACTAGGCTGACGTTTCTCGTCCAAAAACATTTTTTCCCGTGCTGCTAATTAAGAAGAGTACATGTAATAAATACTCAGGCAATGACTGTCATTAGAACTAGAAGGAATCGCACTTTGTACAGGATTGCCTGGCTCAGCCCTTAGTAATTTAACCACACCCAGATTTAATGATAGCCATTCAGTTTGTGTCCCTCGGCTGTACACCACACCCACTTTTGAACCAAAGTCCTAATCATATCGGTGTACAAAATGACATATAAACTGGTTGACGTACCAACTACTGAGTACCTAATACCAGCCCAGTTCTAAAAAAACAAGAAATAGTCATGCCTTCAAGTACCAGAGTTATCTGTTATCAACCAAGGATTGAGGTGTTCAAGAATTTATTCTTTCCTAGAACTATTGCACATGGCAGAGTGGAACTCACTGTCACCAAGTACAGTAGGGGCATTGTCATTAGATAGCTTTAAACAATGTTTGGAGTTAGATTTCTAAGGCTTAGGTGTACATAACAAGTTGTTCGGTGTAATGTAGCCAGCCCCTGCCGCGCTGAGTGCCTGCGAAGCCAGTGTTTTATGCCGAAAGGCGGTTATACCGACTATACAGATACAGAAAAACTGTGACAAGCAAGAAGAAAAGGACATTCCTCAACTGTTGGGGGCGAAATATGAGCATATTTGAGTTGATTAAGAACCAGAATCTTTTTTTTTATTGCAAACCAGAAAAAAATGAAAAGGCGAATCCGAGAACCAACAAATTAAACTGGTGTGGCCTAATCATATGGGTAGTGTGACTCGTGACAATTTTTTTTATACCACATCCCATGCCCCCCTCCCCTGTAAAAGTCTGACTCTGAGTGGTGCTTTTATTTTCCACCATACCATGACCTGCACACACCTGCCCTGCTAAGTGACCTATCACAGCCTCAATAACAAGTAGATCAGGTTCACATTCCTCAGCTGAAGTGCCGCCAAAAATAGACCTCTTTTACGGAAATCGAGATTTAAGAGTTTGTTATTCTTGTCCTTTTATCAATTTAAAACATGTTAGATACAGATAACCCTTAAGGATTGTAAACATTTTTTCTTCACAGATAGGTGAGCTGCTGTAGAAATTTTTTAGTCTTATTACATGTATGTTCAAGGTGTGTTTTACAAAATTATTAGACCGGTCTGTTTTTCAACTGCTCAACAAGTGCATTATGTTTGAATTTGCCATTTTTTCTCTGTTGGCTGCTTAATAAGACATTCATACGTAAGTGACACCATGAATTGCAGGTTTGACAGCACGTCGGCAGAACGTACTGCGCCTGCACAGAACCCTGGATTTTCGTGGTTTTCATTGGATGTTTGGTCAACGTTGCATCAGAATTTTGCCTGTTGCAGATGATATCTTTTCCAACGTAACATTTGAAAACTACTGTCGGAATGCTAACCTTATATGAGCAAATACAACCTTATATGAGACGTTCTGCCGAAATGCTAATCACAATACATTACGGGTTTTGCGCAGGTAAATTACGTTCTGCCGACGTGCTAGCTATAGGTTTGACTAACTAAAGAAATACAATGGAAATAGAGAGGAACACAAGAAATGCACTAAACAACACTAAACAAATCGTTACTATGATCTAAGTATCATTAGTATCTAACTGAAACTGCTGTTTAAAGCTATATTAATTACAATGTGCAAGCTGTAGCTCTAGAAAATTCTGCCTGTATAAAAGTAAAATGACAAGCCTACAACAAGAGAACTATGAACAATGGCAGACTTTAAAAGCCACCTTGTCACCAGACACCAGAGTGGCACCAGACACTATGTGCACAGCTAGAATGTCCGTCAACAGAACTCCTGTCTACCTCAAACAAGACAGCCGCATACAGGCTTTCCGCCTGAAACAACGCTAGCTCAGAAAACAGGAAATTCTTGGTTGACTCCGAGAAAACGGAAGATCTTTTGTTTGCAAGTAGGAACTCGAATTCCCTCACAAAATTGGCATAGTGCGGTACTACTCAGTTGCAGTCAGAAATTTGTCAACAAAAAATATACATGAAGAATTAGAATTTTGCCTGGCCAACAACTATATATGTTTACAATGTATATAATTTATAAGTTTTTTTTTGTAGGTTAAATTTAAGGCACATAATTGTTAGTAATGCTGGTGCAAATAAGTCTTGAAACTTCAAAGTTCCCTATCTTCAGAGCCTTGACATGATCATGATGTTCTTTTTAGTTTTTATCAGCATTTTGAATAAACTTTGATTTCATTTACAACATGCTTGTACTCACATATCCTACTCAGTGACTTTATCATGTGTACAACTGTCAGTCCATGCATACGTTATCATAGTTGTTTGTGGACCAACAGGAAAACATGCTGTACTGTTTGAAGTCCTGCTGAAGCACCAGTGATAACAGTCCTGGTAAACATCTCATCTAGAAGGACATCATTTACAAGTACCATGCAAATATAGGGGTCAACTGTCATAAGGTTAAATTCTCAGTAAAATGTGGTTTGGACTTAGCTCGGGTGCCATCCTCCGTAGTTTTTGCCCGCTCCCTAAGGCCACACCGACTTAATTTTATGGATGACACCCGCCCGCGCATTAATTTTCATCCTCAAAAAAAAAAAAGAAAAGATCACGTCCTCCGAGGCTCTGGCCTGGCTCTAGGCCTGGGTGGTAGGCCATGGTAGTTTAAGTGACAATATGGAGCCGGTGGTGACTCTGGAGAACGGCACCCAGGCTACCGAAGCTCCATGACTCAAGAACCTACTACATACGTACAGTACAGATTCATTAACTCCGCAAAAAGCCAGCATGTGCCGGCTTGTCGTATACGTTGCTATGTACTGCTGTCGCTATGTACTGACCAGAATTGTAATCCTATGGTTTAATAGCATTTTTATCTTTGGCTGGAATTTTTTTTTCTATTCGTCCTCATGCCCGTAGCCAGGGGGGGTTCGGGGGTTCGGAAGAACCCCCCACAAGGCTCAAAGGTCCACTTTTTGGTCCACTTTTTATGTAAAGGTCTACTTTTTGGTCCACACTTTTGTAAAGGTCCTAGATTTTTCTTGAAAAGATGGACTGGAATCGTAGAAAAACTGCTCCCTTTGTCCTTGAATGAAAATTTATCTCTGATTTTTTTCTTGGAAATCCTCTCAAAAATGCACGAAATGCCATTTTAGAAGGTTCATTTTTCAAAAATTTCCGGGGGAGCATGCCCCCGGACCCCCCTAGGAACCTCACGCCTTCGGCGCTCGCCTCGCGCCTACGGCGCTCGAGGTCCCCTCTAGCAGTGGGACGAACCCCCCCATTCAAAATCCTGGCTACGGGCATGGTCCGCATGCACTAGTTTGGGGGTCTTCAGAGGATGTCATCCATAGAATTAAGTCGGTGTGGCCTAAAAACTGGACTGACAACTCAAACCTTATTCTAGCAAAATTTTTGGCACACTGTAAAGAGAATTAGTGAGTTGTCTGACTGTCTTAAACAACTGTCATGGAAACCACCTCCAGAGGTCAAGCACAAGCCCTTAATGGTGACATACCCTTAAGCTTGTGTGCTCAGGTTAGGAGAATTGACCATAAGGATGTGCATTTAAGGAAAGCTCCTGGGTTCCTGTCCCTGCTCTTGGAAAAAATTCACTGCAGCATACATTTTTAAGACAGTCTTACCACAGTACTTCCTATATATGTGTGTGAATCTACAATCTTTAGTTGTATAAACGTATTAAACTTTTACATGTGCTTCTTTAGGGAGAAAACTAACATCGCAGCCACTTCAACATCCTGCGCCAAGGTCATGTAGCAAGTATTCAGCATGACAAAACAGTTTTCTCTGGCAGCCCAGCCAAAATATATCACAAAGATGTAAAGAAAAACATCTGCTAAGGAAGCCGACACATGGAGAAACAACAAGGCCAAACATAACGGTAATTCAATGTAAAGTTATCTGTAAAAACTTCACTTTTTTCATCAAAGGAATGTGACAAAAAAGCAAGTATTTAGCATGACAAAACAGTTTTCTCTGGCACCCCAGCCAAAATATATCACGAAAAACATCTGCTTAGGGAAGCAGACCCATCGAAAAACAACAAGGCCAAACATAACGGTAATTCAATTAAGTTATCTGTTAAAACTTCCCTTTTTTCATCAATGGAATGTGAAATTGACTGTGATCAAGAGAAGTGATGCTTCATTGCTAAATGTCTAAATGACGATACTAGAGATATTAAAGATTTCACCAGTGAAAGAAAGTTTGAATGTTAAAATTTTAAGTTTCAACGAACCCTTTCACCATTGTTACAATTTGTTTACTTACACATGTACTACTATTTACTTCCCATGAAAATTTGAGAACCAACAACTGAAGTTGGTTTGGCCTAGAAGACAGGTTGCTTCAGAAATTTCTCAAACTAGATACCTGACCTGGTACACAGAAGTGAGAAGGGGAAAGGATATCAAGCCAGACAGTCAAGGTACATGGGAACATGGCGGAATTCCCAACATCTGGAATATGTCTGAGCCTGGGGACACAAAGGTCTTTTCCTCACCTTGCAACTTTGATTCATAGCCAAGAATTCCTTGGAGAGATTTCCTCTTATCCAAAAACCTTTGGGTTCACCTACGCCATGTATATGTAGTTCCTCTTATATCGTGCCTAAAACTGTAGCCTCCATAGCAGGCTTATAGATCTGGGGGTTTGGTGGTCTTTGGCTGTTTTCTGATTATGAAACGGCCCGGGTAATTCAACCAGGCCGGCTATGTTGTCTATATGCAACCAGAAAATAGCACATAAAAGCTCCCAAAGACCCTGAAGACCCCCAAAACCCCCCAGTTTTTGGCATGCTATAGAGGCTACTAAAACTGACTCGTAGAATCTCTATATATCTAGCAATGTTGTTCCAGCCAGGACAAAGAAAACAACCTGCACATATTTGGGCCTTATTGGCTTTGGAAATTGAAACATTTCTGGCATATTTTATCTCCACCTCTAGCCTTTTGATAAGTCAACCAAATAATTGCCTTTCAGAGTTGGTATGGTGATGAGGGGTCTCAACAGCTCATAAACAGGTCTTTTACAATAAACCGTTTTGGCAGGATCTAACAGAAAGCACATGTTTTTTATCAGAGAGAAGATACCATGCCAGTGCAACAGGTTATATTACCTGTGTGGTGATTCTACATAGATATCTTGGATTTTCTTTCAACTAAAAAATGAGTTGTTGTTTTAGCAGAAGCATGGACACCCCAGGAATTAACCTGTATTGCCGAGCCTTTTGAGACTGCCTGACACAGATATAGCAAACAGTTACACAACAACATAGTAGTGTGAGTGGCTGTAAAATGATAAAAATTAAAATTAACCTCCTTTCCCATATGATTTTACCATGGATAATGTAGACATCAAGACTATTAAATACAAGCATAATATAATTTTTGCACAGAAGAAAAAATTCCTTGTACATTATATACAAGTTTTGTAGTCAGCATTTCATGCCCTTCTGTCCTCATGCCTCCTACATTGAATCAGTGCTTCAAGAATGCTAGTAATTCGTCAGTCAGACAGTCTGTGTTATGATAGGGATCTCTATAATTACATAAGTGGCACAGTGGGGTGCTGTACTCTCTCTCTCCATGCCCAATTACAATACTCAATGAGCTGGATAAATGTAACAGCACAGACTGTATTATACCCTTCCAAACTTGATCTTTTTTCAGATTTTTTTTTGTTACCATTGTAGTACACTGTGAGTTACCTAAGTAACTTAGATATCATTCCAAAGCTGATCTGGTAGGTATTAAAGTCTTTTCCAACAGGATATCCAGAGCTCTACCACCACCCTGGACCCTTAGGTAAATTGATTTTAGAGTGTGTCTGTAACGGAACTCTCAGGCAAGTCACCAAACCATCAGTCTATTTACCAAATTCTTTAGCTTGAAAATGGACAGTGAAAATGAAACATATGGTGTCATTAAACAGAGCCACGTGCCCTGTGGGTCATGTTGACAGGTGACCTATTTAGGGCCTCCAAACTATTGTTTGACCAAAAGGTTGGGTCAGTTTACAACAGCCCAGGAAAACAGAGGTGGCGGTTAAATAACAGACCTGTGATTTGAACGATTAGAACGGGTAACTGCAAAGCACAACTGTCAAAGTTAAGTTCATGGAAACATTTCAACAGTTGCTTTTCCAGAGTTGTCTTGTTTTGCCTCTGACTTAGGATTGTTTGACAGACATGACCCACTTGACTTATACCTGTATCAAGTGATAGCAGTGCTGGTGTATGTAAGTGTTTGGATAGATATAGTAAAACCCGGATTACCTTCTTAGCAATGTCTGCACTGAGTCCATAGGAGGGTCCGTGGGTGGCCATTTCTGAACAGTTGAGAACCGTCGTCTTTCACCGAGAGGTCGGACTGAGAGAGATCGAGTCATATACGTGCGAGCGACAGAGTAGCTGGCAGCCAAATGTACTGCTGCAGACTTCAGGCACACCCACCACAGGAAGAATGTCCTTTTAACCTTCTCTACCAATCACAGAAGGGATGACATCACCAGACCTTCACCTTGACCAATCAGCAGACAGCATTCCCAAAGGGTGTTGCCTCAGTGACATCAGCACCCACCTAGTCACCTTACTTGTTTTTGTTCAGTCGAACAATCGGTGCGTTTCTGACGTCATACCTCACAGGGGAACTGCCATGTATGGAAGTGCTTTTAGTGATGCCATGCTCTTAGTCAGGGATGTTTGTTTCAGACAATTAAGTTAGTATTGAAGTCACTGTGAGATAAAAGAATATGTAGGATTCCAGACATATTTGTAATAATCTATGTTAGGTCTCCTCAAGGCTAACCCCAAAAAAGTTGGAAGTTGGAAATTTTTGTAAAAAAGACCAAACAATACTATCATAAAGAAATTAATAATGAAATACGACTAAAAGGAGTTTTCCTTTCTTCCTGAATAGTTGCCTGCATTTGAATTGCAGTAATAAATTTCACAGCAATGACAGTTCTGTCCCCACCCTGTAAGTAAACTTTTCTACTCGCTTACAGACTTTATTCAACTGGGGGCAAATAAACACAGCATTTAGCCACGGGTTCAGTCCAAGGGACTGTTCAGATTAAACACTCACACAGGGAACGGTTGTAATGTAGAAGTTTTGGGTATGATTCCTACTATGCTTTATATTGCAAAGTTACAGGCCTCTCACTTCTGTGTTTAATATTTGAGCAGTCCAGCTATTCCTGATTGCACAAGTTCTCGAGCAAAAAAAAAGGCCTGCAGTCCCCTTTAAAATAATTAATAAGCAAGCTTTTCTTTTACTTTTTGTCAGATTCAAGCTACATGTACTAGTAGTAATGATAGAATATTGTCATCATATCCCTGAGTCTGGCCAATGAAATATACATTGTAATATTTTGAAAAATATTTAAAAAAGTTTAAATTCTGCCTGCAAACTTAGCCTGGGTGCCATCCGATTTGTAATGGCTACCCCGAAAAATTTTTTTCTATTGTCCCCAAAGTGTCTTTTTAATTGTCCCAGCTTAACTTTTAATGGTCACTGGCCATCGAGACTCCGTTAATTTTGAGTCCTGCTTGGACACTGTACTACACAACAGCACACTTGTTTGAAGTGGGGATCAGCTTTCCTGCCTGAAGGTCACTGCCCAGCAATTGACCTTTCTCACCTCAGTGGTGCTGAAAGGAAAGAGTTCTCCACAGTCTGGCCTGTTTGTACAGTCTGTGTCTGACCAACAACCAAGTCCTCCACAGGAATGTGTGCTCAATAGAACATGGCTGGCTGGCTGGTTAGGCCATGTTGATTTAAATATATGGATGACATCCATGCATGCATGAATGTTTGTCTTCTTCAAAAAAAGTTTTCGACCATACTGTAAATTGTACAAAGTAGCTGCAAAGTGAGAAAATATATGCTGTCAGTTGAAAAAAAAAATACAGTATTGTAAAACGATACTTATGTTGCAGAATACCAAGTTTGGTACCAAAATCCATTCAAAAGGACAAAAAAATGTGAAGGAATGAAAATGAAGAGCCTATTATTCACCTTGCCAATAAAATATGACCACCTAGATTTCTAAAGGAAGGCAATTTTTTTTATTTCAATTATATTACAATTAAAGGTGTATTTTCATTCACCTTTAATTGTAGCCTACTCCAATGCTTCAGCAGGAAGGTTATGTTTTTGCCAGCATTTGCATGTTTGTATGTTGATCTGTCAACACAATAATTTGAGAAGGCTTAGATGGATCGTTTTGATATTTGGCAGGTTGGTTGGTATTGATGAGACCTCAAAATTGTTACCGGGAAGATTTCGGGTCCCCTGGTTGCTTGTTTTTAGCAATGATACATGTACAATGTACTACATGCGACAGCATAGGCAGACTTGGCTAGTAACGGTTGACCCTCGAAAAGTACAAAACAAATTAAGTAGATCAGAAGCAAAGATAAAAGTTTAACATCAATTCATGTGCATAAATCATTTATGAACACATTGATCACTTCTATAGTTCTAAAATTCTACATAACACATTATCTGATACTGCAATAATACTGGAAAAATTAAACTACAGCAGAAGTTTATGGATTTAGAGCACTACTTGTGATTGTGTGTCCACACGTGCAGGTGACTGTGTGCACTGTGCCAGATGCTTCTTTCCTGACAGCTGTCTGACAAACAACAGCTGCGCCACAGGGACTGCAGGACCCACCTGTGAGACCTGCAGTACAGGTAGGCATTGCTAGGTGTCATCTCTGCACAATTATCCTGTAACATTTCCGATTTTCTGATACTCGTGATTGTGAACTTCAGGACATAATGTCAGGGACCATAAATTGAAGATCACTACTTTCATTGTTAATATTAAGTAACTCTAGTTTAATTTGGGACTATTCCATATCTCAGCAGCCTTACATCTAGATGGGCTAATATATTGTAAACTATTATAGTAAAAACAAGTAAAATCTGAGATTTTATACCTCCGGGCTTTTTATTCTATATTTTTATGTAGGGTTTTAAACAAAGAATTTATCGAGACTGGACACCACTCTGTGTAAGGGGTCATATATACGTGGACCAGTCCGAGAATAGCTTAAACACGCCAAAGGTCAACGGTCGCGACCACTTTCACGCTCAAAGGGGTGTTTTGGGGCCACCAAAAGGCACTATTTTCAGGCCCGAAAACACATATACAATAAAAACAAAAGAACGTGCATCATCTGCAGCCCAATAGCAAAACATATACCGAGTCTCAAAAGAATCCGTCCTCCCAAACGCGAGAAACAGCTGCGAACATGAAAATCTAAATCTCTCACAAAACTCGTCCGCGGAAGGATGTCTCCTCCCCTGGAGGTAATAATGTAAGAAATATGTATACGTGACAGCCATTGAGGACCCCTTTGGGGATTACTAGTAACCCAATTCTGTGGAATTCTGCAGAATTCTGTCTGCAGTGCCAGAATTCTGCAGAACTGGGTTAATCCCCTCGATGGCTTTTACATATTTCTTACATCATTTTTACTATAATAGTTTACAATATAAGCCCATCTGGATGTAAGGTTCGAGAGATTGGAGGCTGTTAAGTGTACTACCATCTTGCCAATTAAAATTCAGCACTGTTTACATTATTGTATTTCATTTACAGATGATTAAAAGTATATTAGACTTAAACTTTGCAACACCAAGATTGTACCTGACGTTTCAGGACACTACCGACTGGGCAGTGTGTGCATGCCGTGTCCTGTTGCACCATGGGGAGCAGTCTTCCTGGGCGGAGTCCTTCTTATTGTTGTCATAGCAACCATCATTCATGGATTTACTGCCACCTTAGCAACAAAGGTGGGCCAGCCTAATACGGGCCTGCATGGGGGGTCCCCACAACGCTGTACACAAATTTTAGAGCTGGCTACGTATTACGCTGAATTCAAGAAGCCTACCCATTACGTTTACGATAAATTCTAGGTAGCTACAATGCATTATGTGGTATAAAAACGGTGAACTACACTCTACGCAAAATGCGCCAAATATGTTCTAGGTTGAATTAGAGCAGTCTGTCTATGCTCTACGTAGAATTGAAATGGCCGATTATATATATGCTCTACGGAAAAGGGCAATTGCACCCCACCCCCTAATGTGATAGGGTGAAAGCTCTATGTTGAGATGCCTCTAGCTACAATTTGAACCAAACAAATTTCCCCCAGGATAATTTGGCGAGTCACAAATTTAGCTCCTTTGTGGATGGAAATCAAATAAAAAAAGCCATATTAGTTTATTACAGATTTCCTTCCACATTTTTAGCCAACAGTTACTGGTATTTTTTGTTATGAAATGTTGATATCATAATGTTGTATAATACATTTTTTTGTACATTTTGCTGCACCTGTTTGATCTGCAGGTGAAACAGCTGGGACATTTTCTCCAGTTCCTTCTGCTATCACTCAAGATGCGCTCTGATTGGCCGAGTCTGATTGTCCAATCACTTGTCTTTCTGCCAAGTGTGGATTTCAACTTGCACACTTTTATCCCAGGTGACTGACAACATCTGTTCAAGTTTGCTGTAAAGTATTTACGCAGCCTCCAAATTCTACCCTAACTTTCACAGGTATACACATGAAAAGAATACCTCTCCTTTTAACATCCGAAAAACCCACAAATTACAGAAAAAGTGGGATCTTTTGTCCTCCTCTGTCTTCAAAAAAGAAGTCAAACCCAGTAGTTTTTAGGAGTTAACAGTAGTTCTCTGTTCTAAGTTATACCAAATTACTTGTAATTAGCCCTTGGGCATGAATTTGCAATTAAACAATTTAGATTAACCAACTTGAGGTTTAATAATACGATATATATAATGTATAAGATAGGTGTTTTAATATAAGATAGATTTGTAGTATGAGTTTCTAGACAATGTCTATAGTGTCAGATTCAAGTTTCGATGGAAGAAAATTTGGGTCTTATACTTCATTGTATCTTAAAATTGGCCTAATACCAGTACTTCCTTACATGTTTGTTAGGCTGCACTTGACTCAGAATACTAGTATTCCTACATGTACACTCAATACTTTAAGAACAGTGAAAAATATCTAGTTTTCTAACTTTTTTCTAACTTTGACTCAGAGTGCTTCTTTGAGTTGCCGATAAGGCAGTTCTACATCCACTGGACTACAGCTGTCACACCTGTCCTTGTGGTGGTTTTCTTTGCTCACATCTTGGACAAATTCATGGTAAATTATAACTACTTCAATCTACAGTTTTTCCCTTCCTCCCCAGAGTTCTGTTCTTGTTTCCATCTGCTCATCTTTTCTTCTGGGTACAGCAGTTGTTTACATAGGGTGGCTGAGCTGTGGGGTTGTGCGTTTGACAGACTAGGTTGACAGCATTCGGGTGGGGAAGATTGACAGGTCAAAAGGTCGGACACAAAAAATGGGGTCGTTGACGGTCACAAAAGTCCTAAATACTTTCCTGAAGACTCAGTCTAACTAAATTCTGCTCCTGTAGCGGCTAGCCTGCCTGACAGTTGCCCCCCCCCCAACCAGTGAGAGATTGTGTAAAATACAGTCTACCTGAACTCTGAAATCTTTGATTTCTTGTTCCATTTTGCAAAGCATATTGTTATAAAACCAAGCTTTCCTTAAATTGTTTTTAGAGGAAAAAGATAGGTGGAGCACGGAATGAGGATGAACGCAAGTTAGTCTGGCATCGGCGGGGCCACGTCCGTCGTTGTGCCATGACCCTGTTTGTTCTGACCTTCTCTCCTGCTGCGACCTTGGTAATCCGAGCGTTTGCTTGCCAGAACACCCTTTCTACAGTGAGTACCTAAAAAGATGTATTACCTAACTCATTTCCTCATATGGGGAGGGGTCATTTGATGTGAAATTTTTTTGTTGCTGTGAAATATCTTACATTTGCTTGCAAATGTTGGTTTTCTGTTACATATACATTGTACAGAATGTTGTTTTACTTGATGTAACAGAATGTAAGTGTAGTACTGTTACAGTACTGCAAATTCAGTTATGTTTATTGAAACACTTTGAATTCACAATTGTGTAAAAATTGACATTCATGAGTGTGATAAAAAGATAAGTAATATGTTTAAAAATCTCGTGTACCTTTTTACCTCTAGGACGTTGTATTGGACCACACTGATAACGTCTTCCTGTATGACCAACAACACACCTGTTCTGAGATGCCTTTCCAGGTCGTTAAAGGTTTATTTTTACTTTATTCGATTTCTAAAAACTTTACTAAGACCAAAATGTCATGATTTGTTTTGGTGCCGTCCACTGTGTCCATCCTACCTGTCAAAAAGACCTACATGTAGGAGGAATTCCCTGGCAAATCTTTACAGTACATGAACCTCTATATACTATACCTACCTAGTCCCATGACTGACACTGGTCGTCGGGGGGGACAAGGCAGACTTTGCAGCAGGAAAGTATACTATACACATAGTATAATATATACTTAGGCCACACCAATTTAATTTGTTGGTTCTCGGATTTTGTCAGAAAAAACATGAAGCGACAGGGCGAAAAAAAATAAAAATAAAAACAGGTCTAGGCATCCTATTATAGCCCCAAATGCTATGATAGGAGCCATGAAGTCAACACAAAAGGTTGTGTTAATATTTAAACAATGAATTTTGAACTTTTAATCAAACCACTGCATTGATAGATGGAAACACTGCAACAACTAGGAAGAAAAGGACTTTCCACAACTGTTGGGGGCAAAATATGAGCATTTTTTAGTTGATTCAGAACCAGAATCTTTTTTTTTTGCAAATCAGAAAAAAATGAAGAGGCGAATCCGAGAACCAACAAATTAAATTGGTGTGGCCTTATGTTCATGGTTTTTAACAGTAGACGAGCAAGTTCAGCTGTTCCTTGACTTCATTTTAGCTAAACTTCCACTCTTGCTAGAGTTGCACATAACTTTAACTTAGAATTGGTAAAAAGTAATGTATCCTTATCAAGAAAATAGTATTATGAAATATTCTTTTTGTTTTACATTAGGCTATGCCAATTTAATTTGTTGGTTCTCAGATTCACCTTTTGTGTTGACTTCATGGCTCCTATCGAAGCTTTTGGGGCTATAATAAGATATGCCTAGACCTGTTTTTTTTTCGCCCTGTTGCTGCTTATTTTTTTAAAAATCTGATAACCAACAAACTAAATTGGTGTGGCCTTACATAATTTTATCTTATCTACAGATCATCCAGGCCCTATCGCTACTGTACCTGGTACTGATGGTGATACTACTGCCATTAGGACTGTCGTTCTGGATTCTCCGACTGAGGAAGTTCAATCTGCTGAAGCAAAACCTAGTAACACAAGGGTCAATATTCAAGTCCTTTTGTTACATTGACCAACTCAAGCAGGCATTGTACAGCACAAGACTTTGCCCAATGATTTTGCTACGTCTACAGAATATTTAGGGCAGGGACTCTATCAGTGTCCCTGCCCATTCTGGTTAATGTGCTTAAAAAAATATGCATGTCCTTCAGAGAGGAGGCAGCCTAAGGTATTTTAGGCATCTAATTTAAAGGCATCCAGTGCAGTTTTAGGGCTTTTTCAGAGCCAATATTCTAGTCAATATTCTAGATGCTTAAGGTACCACTCAGAAAATAAAGGACTCATCTTGGGGCTTGTTTCTGCAGTTTTAAAAGTAAGAAATGCTGACTCAAATGTGCCAATGCGAAGCATGTGATACTAGTGATTTTTCAGGATTTAGACTTGTTTTTAACTCTTCTTTGTAATGTATTTATGCTTAAGTCCTGATAATATTTGAAGGACGTGTTTGTTTACAGAAACTGCAATTCAGCACTGGTGCTACAAAAGTTTTTTGTATGGAATAAACCATTCTCTCTTTTTTCTCTGCTTTACCTGGTGGCTTATACAAGGGGTTGGAGGAAAAAGGAGTCCAGTCCAATTGCCGGAAAAAGCAGACCAGTCCAATTTGGGGGTTGAAAAAGCAGTGGTTTCTGAGTGTACTAGCGCCCCCTTGTGAAATACGATAAAAGTGCAAACATTACCGCATGTCATGGTGGGAAGCGCACTCATTGGATACAGCTATGCAAATTCCAACAACTGCCTGTGAGACGTATAATAAGAGGTGGAGAGGCAGCTATTTGTACTCACTACCCCAGCCACTGGAGGACATAACTGTTGTCAGCAGTTGTCAGCATTTGCATTATTAGCTTTATCCAATTAGTGCGTTTCCCACCATGACATGCAGTAACACATCAGACTGCTTGAACTTTTATCATATTTTGCAAAGGGGCGCTACTAGTACACACAGAATAAACCCCCGGACTGCTTTTTCACACTGGACTGCTTTTTCCGCCGATTGGACTGGACTCTTATTCCCACCAACCCTTTATACAAGTTGTTCTTCCCCAGCTGGATGTATGAGTCCTACCGTCGCCGGTTCTGTGTCCTGGAGCCGATTGTGATGATGAGGAAAGTCCTGAGCATCCTACTGACTGACCTGTACCCACTCCAGTAAGGCTCTCTTTTCATAGTCACTAGATGGCACGCGATCGCAGTTCTAGAGCGATTAGCCTAGATACCATCTTGGTTAGTTTACGTCAGCTCCAACAGTTGCTGTCCACAATATAGTAGCCTAACCAGGATGGTACCCAGGCCATAGAATACAAATACAAATACGTGACCAAAATTGCACATGTGTGACCCTTATTTTCGATATTTGTTAGAAGTACAGTTACTGTAATACTTGGTATCAGGTCCAATACAGGAGTGACAGTAATGTTGCTTTATGAACTGTTACTGAAATGTGACTTCCAGTAACTGTTAACTTACTGGCAGTTGCATTTCACTACACTGCAGTTTGCTAACGGATATGATGTATGGATTAAAAGATGTACCAAAACACACAAAATGCACAAAAATTCTCTCTTAAAGTATGATACTTGTTGAGTGGTCTGCCAAGTCTATAATTAAGGGTTAATGACCCGCCCGAGGTGAATATGGTGTGATAAAGCCTTGTCAGTTGCTATAACCACAGAATAAAGCCACCAAGTGAGCGCAGCGAATGAGGTGGCTTTATGAGGTGGTTATAGCAACTGACAAGGCTTTATCACACCATATTCACCGAGAAAGGACGGGACATTAACGCTATTATCATATAGCTTACACGATAGCCAGTATCCAAACTGATGCAGTAAGTGACACAATGTACAATTTACCCGTTGCACATGCTGAATTGAACATAGAACATAGTTCCATCTGGAGTCACCTGAGGTCACTGGGTAGAGTTCACGTTAACTGGGTCACAGGCAGGGAACAGGTGTTCTTATGGGGGTCACCCGAGGTCATTGGAACACAACTTAAGTTATTTTTGGATTTTTTAGAACTAGAGCCGTGTTCTATTGGGTCACCTGAGGTCATATGCAGGTGATTATTGGGTTGTTTAATGTATGGATTGGGATGAATAAATACCCGATTTTGACTCTATTTTTGACATTGGTCAACATCACCTGGCTATATGATAATAATTGTTAATCTGCCAAGTGTTCTTTGAGTTGGAAGATTATCACAAGACATGAGGGGCAGGTGTAATAATTAGCAAAACAAACCATATTGAAAATTTTGAAATGAAGACAGTGATGACCCGGCAAAAAATAAAAATTTTTGCCACATGTTGTGTTTCTCAGGCTACTTGCCCAGGCCGGGGTGAACCTGTGCCTCAGCGGAATCTACCTGCTTGTGGTGGTGCTGGGGAGACCATACAGGTAGGACAGCACACAACTTGCATGTACAGAGCAGCCACACAGTTGTCGTCAGTCTTCGTGGGATTTTGATGTGACAGTCATACTATAGAATTTTCAAGCAAGCTGTGACAGAAGTAACCATCAACAAGGATGAAAGGCAGATGAAGCATGAGCAACTATATGTATAGCAACTATATGTATACATGTATCCCAAGAAGCCAAATACAGAAGACGTGGCTTTTCTTCGTCTGGGGCGGTATTGTGGAACACACTACCACATCACCTTAAAGCAGCCAGGACCCTAGCAGCCTTCAAACAACTTTATGTACTGGGCAATCATTGATATGCAAATTCCAAGCCTGATTTTAATCTTGATTTCTTTTTTGTCCTACCTTGGTTCTATGTTATATGATGGTCAGGCTTCACTTTTGTTTCACTTATTTTGGTATTATGATTTCATGCGCAATGTATGCTACTTAAGTTACCTTGCTTTTGTATTATTTAGTAACTTTTGTAACTTTATAAGTTACTTTTGTTGTTATTTGTATTAGTTTGAGTTTGATGTTTTTGTTTGGGGTCTTCCCCAGGCCCAGGGCTCATTGAAAAGCGCCCTACGGGCGATATGTATCCCCCTGGTTAGATAAATAAAAACAAACAAACAAACCTCAATTTGTGATCATATCATTCTACAGCAAATGTGCCCTTTACTTATATTAAAGCTTTTTTTTGCAGTTGTTCCCAAACCTAAAATATAGTTAATCACATATTATTAAATATTATAATGTGATTGAATTGATGCATGATTCTATAAAGACTTTGTGTTTAACTACATTTGTACATTAAGCCAATGACTTATTATTGTTATTTCATTTTATGTTGCTGGACTCCAGGAAGAATAGTATTGAGTGTACCATACTAATGGAGATCTCAACAAACAAACTTCTATGAGAACAAAATTGCAATTTGGTTTCTGTTGTTAGTTAACTGATTCTGCAATGAAATGAGAATTCATGTACACATGTATTTGTGTCACAGGCCAGCCAAGTGGAGAGTGTGTGGGAAGGTCTTACCACTGGATCTGCACAATATCTTTGAGGTTAGCCTGCAATCCATCCAACATTACATGTATGCCATAAGTCATCAAACTTACATGTATAAGATTTTGGTCCCATAATATGCATGTTGAACATTCAATTATATTACCGGTACAATTATTTACTGTTGTACTGACTGATTTTCCCTCATAGGGCCTTGCCACTGTCTGTGTGTGCTACCTACAAGTTATCCCCATTGTAAAAGAAGCAGACTTGTACAGTGACTACATGGGAATCCCCCTGGTTGTTCTGATCAGCTGTACGCTACTACTGTGGGTCATCATGTTGGCTGGCATCTCCAAGGAGATACAGCTGGAAGAGGTACAGGATATGGGAACTAATTGTTGAGATTTGACAATAACACAGTGTTCTGCATTAGGAGGGTAGGTGTGTGTATGTGTGTGTTCATGTGTGTGTGTGTGTGTGTGTGTGTGTGAGTGAGTTTGTGTGTGCATGTGTGTTTGTGTGTCCATGTGTGTGCGTGCGTGTGTGTGCATGCATGTGTGTGTGTGCATGTGCGTGTGTGTCCATGTGTGTGCATGCATGTGAGCATGTGTTTGTGTGTGTGTGTGCATGTGTGTGTGTTTGTGTATGTGTGAAATGTGTGTGTGTTTATATGTGTTTGTGTGTGTTTTTATGTGTGTGTGTGTTTGCGTGTCCATGTGTGTGCGTGCGTGTGTTTGCATGCATGTGTGTGTGTGTGTGCATTGTGTGTGTGTGTCCATGTGTGTGCATGCGATTGTGAGCATGTGTTTGTGTGTGTGTGTGTGTGCGTGTGTTTATGTGTATGTGTGAAATGTGTGTTTGTGTGTGTGTTTATATGTGTTTGTGTGTGTGTTTTCATGTGTGTGTGTGTGTTTTAAATTATATATGACTCTGTGTGTTTGTGTTTTCTATTTCTGTGTATGAAAGTTTTGTGTGGGTTTGTCTGTGTGTTTGTGTGCATGCTTGTCAGCAGATGGTTGCTTTGATTACTGGATTGAAAGGGAATGATTGTTTATGCATGGCTTTTGTTTTCAATAACCCATTCAGACTTTTGAATGGTCTAAACTGCCTTAGTCTATATAACATGTGCTGAAAGTTTTAAGTTTGACATAGCTTGAAACTATAGAGCTGTGCGAGGTCTTTAACACGCTGATATCCTCGGGTGTTAACAGGAGATGGAGTACACAGTGCCAGTTGTTCCCAAACAGAAAGAAGCGAGAAAGATTTGTGTTCTGGCACCGTAACAAGGTCGGGGAGGGCGTCACAGCGGTGGAACTCACGGCGAGACAAAAGGCGCTGACCACTTTCTAACAGACTACTTTATCGTGAGTTTGTCCCTATGAAACTAGAATTTCAACATTTTAAAGCCACACCAATTTAATTTGTTGCTTCTCGGACCGCCCTGTCCATTTTTTCTGATTTGCAAAACAGTTGTATGTGTTGTGTGTCCCCCTCCTCTCTCTATCAGTGAACGCCCATCAGAAGTCGTGGAACTCTTTTGCACACTTTTCCGTTGCAGAAATGCGGAGAGGCTCCTCCTCATAGTCATCGAAGTTGCTGGAGTCTCCTGGGCCTTTACACTTGCGGATGAAGGGAGCCTCAACCTGCATGGACAAGGAAACACAAAAACCTTACAAGTTATGGCCAAAACGTCTTGCTTCCAGTCCTGTGACTGTAAAAAGACACAGATACCGGGTACTAGACAGTGGCAAAACTTTAAACGCAAGTGCATCAGCAGTAACGGCCATAATTAAACCACACAAAACAACTCAAACAAGAATTATGAGATTTCATACCTCCATGAAATATATGAGTCTTTGTAAATGTTTTTATTTGTGTCATTGACAATGGAAATAAGGTCATAATTAGCATAATCTAGTTTAATTTATGGTTTTGTAAATTCAAATGACAATATTTTATATCGTAAAATTCCTCTACTTTGTCATACTTCATTTCAACATGTCCTCATTAATTATGCAAATGACCTGCATTAACATAATATATGCATAGTGGTGTTAACCTTTAAGTAACTTACACATGTCAGAAGGTATAACAGTCCCATCATTCACCAATAAGGAGCCACAGAATTTTCACATTAATTATGCAAATTAGGTCATCATTTGCGTAATTGTATCTATTGATGTTCTGCCTGCCACATATTAAATAGATTACATGTATAAAAGTACTATTATATAAAACACTAATTGTAGCATTTTCTCATTAATTATGCAAATTAGGTCCTCATTTCCATAATTTGCATTTAATTATGTACAACTCTCTCTCAGTAACCTACACACCAAAAATGATGAAAATATGTTGTTCCTATCTGGACTTATTGGCTTTCAAAGATTTCGCCAGAAAGTGCCCTGCAGTTCCAGAACAAGCTGCTAGGGGGACCAAACTTGCACCACTTATTCTTGACAGAATAAGCTATCTGTCACCCAAAAGTCAAGACCATAGCATGTTCAGGACAAAAGATACAAAAACCGGAAGTTCTGCTGCAGTACCAAGGTCATCCACCAGGAGGCCCATATTTGATCTTGACCTTCGTCTTCCTAAGACTTACCAACATACAATCATCACAATCCATAAAGGCGTTCTGAAGTTATGCTGACTACAAATGTGCGGAAACACAAACACACACACACACACACAGACAGACAGACACACACACACACACACTGACAGACGCGCCAAAAACAATACCTCCATTTTTCATGGAGGTAATAAATGGAATAANATCTGCAGCCCATACCATGTACCCACGGTAAAAATGCATGTCGAGAACGTCTGAGACAGTATACCACGGTATTTGTAAGTTAAGAAGTCGTACTATACGCCGAAAACATCCAAGATTGCGCAAGAGGGCGTTGACCCCTGACCCATTGGCCCACCCGGAAGTTGCGCTGGCAGCCAGCCCAGCGCCGCGCGCGACCATTTTCAGATTTTTACGCCCCAAAACACATATACAATAAAAACAAAAAAACCTGCACCATCTACAGCCCATTAGAAGAACATACACCGAGTCCAGTCTACCCCAACGCGAGATACAACTGCGATAATATTTCAAAATACATATCGGAAGCAGACACCCCTCTGTTTGACCCCTTTTAAATGGTAAGACCCAAAACTGAAACCTCCCCATTCCTTAACAACATGGTAAATTCCATTTTCAGCATGGCGGGGGTGTCCGGAGCACTTAAAAACCTTTTATTTCGACGCCCATAAACACATATACAATTAAACAAAAACGTTCTGCATCATCTGCAGCCCAATAGCAATACGTACACCGAACAACAGACCAATCCGTCCAGCCGATCGCGAGAAACAGCTGCTGACAGAAATGTTTCGAACAATAGTAAAACCTCCTCGCGGAAGGATGTCTCCTTCCCCGGAGGTAATAATACAATATATGCAGACCAGTTGTGTTCTGAAGCCTCAGCCTTCCTTCACAACCGCACATATGTTACACGTATCGTGCGGATTTGCTACATTGTGAAGGAAGGATGTGGAGAAGTCAAGAGGTTTTCCTGGCTACGTAGTTTCGTTGACTGGTGGTAAATACTAGTAGGTTTACTTTTGGTCGTCTTTTTTTAATCTCTTGATTACCCAACTAGTACACGTTATGTCCGCCTAACGGTTAGGTGCGTGTTCATTTTGACGGCAGATGTCAGTGCCTGCAGTACTGAAACTCATCACTGGGCGGCGCTGAACTGAGACCGTGTTTGCGTCAAGTGCGTCCCGCATGTGAGTGCATTTCAATACATCGTCAGAAACTGAAGTTTATTTTCCTCCAAACAAAGAAAATGCCACAATACGAAAACTTGTTGCATTGTTAACCAGCTAGGGTAATATATGTGCAGTTGTGAAGGAAGGCTGAGGCTTTGGAGAGGAGAAATGGCCGACAATTCGGCCGATGGACATTAACGGAAGAAGAAGAAGAAGTCGAGAGGTCTTGCTACGTAGTTTCGCTGACTGGTGGTGTACAGGTCGTCTCTTTTTATCTCTTGATTACCCAAATAGTACAAGTTATGTCCGCCTAACGGTTAGATGCGTGTTGATTTTGACGGTAGATGTCAGTGCCTGCAGTACTGAAACTCATCACTGGGCCCATAAAATATTACTCTGTGTGTTTAGTCATTTTGTTCAACCTTCATGACCACCTAGATTTCAGAATGAAGGTAACTTTTTTTATTCGCACGATCGCATCAGTTTTGGGGTTTCCACTGGATGTCATCCATATGATCAAATCAACATGGCCTAACTTAATCATCTAATTGAGAAAATGCAAATTATGGTGATTCCGTATCAGGTGGTAAGACCACGCTGCTGCTCAGAGCAAGATGGCGAGTCCCGGCGCTTGGACAGGGAAGAACTCGGTGGTTAAAATTCGTCTTTTAAGACGAGCTACGTCCGTTTAAGAAGGTGAGTCGCATTTAACATTGTCCTAGCCTCTATGTTCTCGTATTTGGGCCGAACTCGTTGCAATTCGTTGGGGTCGTGTGGCCGCGGAACGGCAGAGCGTTGGGTTCAGAACCACGAGGTCCCGGGTTCGAACCCTGCCATGTCACCGATCTTGTGCCCTCGAGAAAGGCACTTGACACGCCTTTCACTACCCTGGTATCCTGTCTTACGTGATTGGGTGTATTGGGGTGTTCAGGCAGGTTAATTGTGTCTTCGGGGGCTCTAATAGCTTCCCCCGCCCAGTGCAACAGACCGTCCCGGTAGGAGAGTTACGCTAATGAGACAGTATGCTTGGGGATTTGGTGGAGGACTAATCAATCTCTCGTGAAATACACACCGGGAAACCTAAGTGAGGCGGGCGGGACAGAGCTCTTTCGGCCCCGACCACGATCAGACTGGATACCAGGCTAGCCTTTCACGGGATGAAGGCCTTCGCGAACCCCATCTCGTAATAAGGAAGAAAAGCAAGGCAGCAGTATCTTCAGGTAGGTGTCCGCCTCACAATGAAAGAAGAAAAGAAGAGATGGACAAGCTAAAATGCAGAATGGCGTTAAAGTTAGTTGCGCCGGTGACGATTCCCTGTGTTTAAACTTGCACTTAGTAAAGCCGCCGTTCGGGGACGCTATTTTCATGTCCGTTTTGAACTAACATGACTACATTATATACGCTCGTTTCCTCCTCTGTTTCCTGAATTTTTTACTGATTTATATATGCATTATGTAAGCCATCTTTTCCCATAATGTTCTGTCAATATAAGATGTGCTTGAATGCTGTTGAACTGATTTTTGAATAGCATTGTTTGTGTTGTTGGTGACCCACGGTTTTAAAGTATTTTATGTGAAATTTACTTTGATTTTTCCATGGTCATGATATGATATGTTTTCCTTATGAAATGTTGAATTTTGATTGAATGTTGACTGCAAGTTTGCTCTGCTCTTTCCCCACTCAGAATTTGCTCTTGCCCCCGACCCAAAGCAGGATTTAGAACTCAAACAAATGATGTATGATGCTCTGTGAGTAATTGTTACCTCCATGAAAAATGGAGGTATTGTTTTTGGCGTGTCTCTCTCTGTGTGTGTGTGTGTGTGTGTGTGTGTGTGTGTGTTTGTGTTTGTGTTTCCGCACATTTGCAACCAGCATAACTGGTATTGTGGTAGCCTGGCCTGGCCGGTACCTGGTTTTCCGTAAACCCTGTTGTTCCTTTGTGTTAATCCTCAGAAAATATATGAGACTTGATCAAATATAGATCTTGTTGATATACAGACTTCAATGTACTATATACTGTATATATGTACTAAAATACATCAATCCCTCACTTTTCCATGGGTGTACTGTTGTGTCAAACAGTGTACAGGCTTGTACAGTATTGAGGCCACAGCTGCAATACTTAATACATGGAATTGATGGTGAATTCAGCACCAAGGAGAGGTCCACACTAAGGCCACAGAACATAGTATTTATGGGCGAACCCGTCAAAAGTAGTCCGGGCACAAAATAGTGCTGCACAATACTAGAGAAAGGTGCAGGGATTGTTCTGTGCATGGCGTCGAAATGGAACCTGTGGTAAATGTTAGAGGAATACATCAGTTTTGAGACTGTAAAAGTGTAATTATGGTGCGTGTTCAGTCGGCGTAGGTTTGCGCTTGGATACTTGTCCCGTACTGTGCGTCAGCTGCAGTTCTATGACCTTTGACACTCCCAAGTGTGCGGCGCGGCGTGTTGTGCACGAATTCTCTCCAACGTCTGAGGTACATTTTCAGCTTTTTGCCCGCAAATTATCCGTCTAAAGTGTACAGTATATCGTCTGGACGTTTCCATGTCTGGTGTGTGCCGTTCCTTGGATGTTTAGAGGGAAATAATACGTATTTTCCTGGCGCTAGCGGGCGGAGTTTGGAGACTGGTGACGTAAATGGCGACTGCAAAAGGCGGCGCGGTGTTGAAAAAGGCACGTTCTTGCGAGGTAAGACAAGAAATTAGCTCCTTGAATGTACATGTTTGTACTTCCAACAAACTTGTAGCAACAGGGGGTACGTGCCGACCAGATTGGGGACATGTGGGACGGGATGCGGACAGGGCACAGTTCGGATCATGTGACTGACAGATTGACACAGTTTTGTTATTGGAAAATCTAAGTTAAAAACTGTACCGTACACTTTCAACGCTGCCAACAGATACAATCAGTAGGTCTTGATTTTATAACATGTTCACGTGTATTAAATGCAGTGGCTCTGCTGTTTCCCGTTAAATTGAAAAGTCCTTTTGTCGTTGTTGTCTTGGCCTTTTGTGCTGGTACCTGTATCTGTATAGTATAACCGCCTTTTGGCGTAACACACCAGCTTCTGTATCTGTATAGCTGGTATAACCGCCTTTCGGCGTAACACACCAGCTTCTATATCTGTAT